CAGACTGAGAGATCCTCTTTTACATGATGCATAAGAATCTTTGCATGTTACAGACTTCCATGGCAGAAGAGAATACATTTGTGTTCCTGCATGGGTGATAGGAGGGCTGGGATTTGTGTGACCTTGCTGTTGCTGCTGTGCTGCTGTGGCTGTTCCCTGCTCCATGTAGGTACTCCTGCTTTCATATGTAGGGATGAGAGTTCAAAGTTAAGAACGTTTACTTGTAAGAACTGGCTATTCTGCTGTTTTCAGAAGTCACTGCTCCTCTGGGATTAAGGATAGAGAAACCAGTGGTGTTATCCCTAGGTGTTAAATGTTTAGAGAGCAAAGGTGCATCTGAATTTTTTGACTTTTTTTCTTTTCTTTTTCTTGAAGTTGTCTGTAAATCTTCTATGAGTGTATTCTGAACTGCCAGTGGCCCACTTGCTGAAAGCAGGACATGTTTTGTGCTTCAAATTCATCTTCTCGTCAGGCTAATGGAGGTATTTTTGGTGTGCAGCTATAGATGGATATAGAGCTGGCATTATACAATAAATCGCTGGTACATGATAACAGTATTCGAGCAGTCTGTTGATGACAGAAATGTAATGATTCTTTAAAATCTTTATTTGCAATTTAGTTTACCTCTAGGGTTCTTGATGTCAGAAATAGCTTCTTCACAACTGCCTGGATGTTGTCTTTTATCTCTTGCTTGTCACGCACACTTCAGATCCTCAGACAATGTTGTCTTGAAATGAGAGGACATGGCCAAAAGCATGGCTTTTATTTATGTAGTCATAATAACCCGAAAGAAGCAAACAGTGAATGACAGAGAGAAACAGAGATTTATATTCTTGAGACATCACTGAGACAGCGTATGCAGGAGCTTAGCTGGAGCTGCTTGACTGGTTTTCTGCCTGTAAGACTTGGTTTTAACAGTAGAAGTACTGGTATTAGTTCATTTCTGGAAAGGTTTGGAGCAACTGTGTTGTGAGTCTTTGCCATGGTGCCAAACAGGCTGCTATAAACAAATACAGATATTTCCTTGGAAAAAGAGTTGCTTGGTGTGTTTGTTAGGCTTTCCTTTGTCCCATGTGCTGCTCACCCTTTCACTTCAGCATTGCTCTGTCCACACTTGGCCTTTGCCTCTACATTTGCATATGGTCACACTCTACAGAGGACAAAGTGCTGAGCAAGTGTTGTCCTCTGCCCTGCAGTGGGACCCTGGAGGGAGGTGACTTGTCTGCACTGAGGTGACGTGGGGACATTTGATCACCATTGTCTGGGGGTGCAGCTGAGCTAAGCTGTGTGACAGTAAGTGCACCAAAGGAAGGAGCTGCTTATCTGCCCATCTGCACAGTGAAAATGAGAAGATTGATTATAAATAAACTAGGAAATCAGAATTCTTGCTTCATTTAGACATCTGTTTTAAAAGTGGTTAGTAAGGGTGTGTACCAGTACCTAACACTGATTTTTGTTAAGTTTTGACTTACAAAAAACTTTCCCTGATTTACACTTGACTTTCCCTGTCTTCTAACACTTCCTTTTTTCTTATCTGTGTGGTCTTTTTATCTGAGCCTTGGCCTTAGCAGCCTGGGGCCCCTTTTGTGCAACAGGAGCAAGATGAGGTGTTAGAGGATCTGAGGAGTTGTCCTGAACTGGTCAGCAGAACCAGGCACTGAACCTGGACTGGTTTCTGCTGCTGGGTGGAGAGTAACTCTGTCTTGCACCCCCAGAGCAGCTGCTTGTCTTCTGCAAAAAAAGACTGAGGCTGTGGGAGTCCTCTTGGACAGACACCTTCAGGACCCTTGTGTGTTCCCAGCAGCCATGTCCCACAGAGGCTCAGAGGGTGGAGCAGGCACGGGACATCCTTGTATTGAGTGCAGTCTTTCTTCTCACCCGGGATCAAGCGAGTCGCTTCCCTTGCTTAGACTTCCAGTTTTAATGGCAGTAAGCACTTAACAGGACAGTGGACCTTCCAGAAGCACATCTGTCACAGATGCCCACTGCAGAGCTGTGGGCTCCTTCCACTGTCCCAGCAGCATCTGGGCTCAGAGCTCTAGGGTTCTTGTTATTTTCCCCACTCATTTTATAAACAAAGCATCTAAAACTAGAGGAGCTTAGCACAAAGGGATGAAGCTGCTGCTGAACAACCTAATGTGGCAATCAAAGGAGAGGCAATGACCTTGGAATTAATTTAAATAACTTTTCATTGCCCTCAAAAATTTAATGGTAGTCTTCACAGGATTATTCAAAGACAGGATAAATAATCATAGGAGAGATTAATTGGTTTGCAGTTTGTAGGTCTGACTTGTAATTCATATCTCCCCTTTTCTGCAGTGGTAGGTGAAAGCAGGCTGTAGCTCACAATAGCAAAATTCTCATGAAGACAGCCAGAAAAGCATTGTTTATTGTGGGAGAAATTAAAATTTGTTGTCGCTCTCTCAGGTTCAGTTTAATGTCGTGACTTTTTCCCAGGCTGATACATCATGCTGTCCTCTGTCAGGGGTAGAACAAGCATTCACAATAAAGATTTGAAGACTTCAGTCTGCATTAAGTGCCTTTTAAAGATCTGATGTTGCTTCCCTTTATTTTAAGCCTGAGTGAGTTAGCTTTGTGGCAGTCAGTAGTGCTGTGTCTGTGTGATGTTCATGAAAGAACCCGGAACAGTGACATTTCATGGTCTGGACATCTTGGTCCAAAATATTACTTACATGATCTTCAGATGTTTTGGATATTTTTTCATTTCCTGGTCAAAATATGCCTGCGTTATTGGTTTGGGTTCCCCTCTGCATAGCTTTGTGAAAACTCTGGTTCTTAATGCCTTTGGTTGATCAGATCTAATTAATGATTGTAATACAACTGGAATATAGTGTAGATTATGTGGATACTGCAGCTAGAGCACAGCATGAACCTTGCTGTGGCTAAGGGACACACTGTGTAAATCCCATCAAGGTGAAGTTAGCCCTGCAGAAAATCATTGTTTGTACAAATTTAAGCTACCTAATTCAGAGAGGTTTCCAGGTATCTGAGCTGGGAGTTGAGATGCCCTTTGGTTAAAAGGGAGGAAGAGCACAAAATGAATTATGTTCCCTGCTCCTAAAAGGAGAAATAAATCAAATGGGGCAGGTGTCAGAGGGATCTGTCAGCCCCTTACACAAAACCATATGCCTGCAAGTTTTCTGTGGGTGGCAAATAAATCATTTTCCAACCTCTTTTGTGCTTTTAACCAAGATAAGCAGTGCTGAGACAGTAACTCTTCCTCAGCCTATCCCAGCTTCTTCCTGAATTCTCCTGTGAAGCTGTCGCATCAGGTTCCCAGCATTCTCACACCATGGTGTAAAATTAAAGCAAAGCTTTCTCCACCAGCTGAGCTCCCCTTGTTCTGCTGCTCCTTCCACATTACTGGTTTTTTTGCTTAAAAGAATGGCATGGGGCTCTTTAGTGCTGGGTCTCTGTGCAGATGACTGTGTGGTATGGACTGTGGCTGGTGTTTGAACAGGAGCTGGTCTGAGATCAACCACTTTGGTATTTGCTGTAATTCTTAGGTGGGATTTGCAGTTGTTGTTCAAATGTGTTCACCCTGTTCTATAAACATGCCCTGAAAGTGTTCCATGATGGGCTGTGGTGGCTGAAGCTCTGTTTGCTCTGGTGAAGTTATTTATACCTGGATGTCTTACTGCTTCTTGGCTGCCTTAGGCTGTATAAAACATGCTTGCCTGGTTGAGTTCAGGCTCAGATTTGTCTGCTGGCTTCAGCCATCATCCCATTAGAGGGAAACAAAGCAGCAGTGAGGTTCAGAGTCCTTGGTTTATTTTCTTTTTGGACAATGGTGTAAAAATAGCCCCAGCCCTGTTGCCCGAACACCTCGGAGTCAGCTTTTGCTGGCATGCATTGAAACACATTTCTAGCTGTATCTTCTGATACAGCTTCCAAAAGCTCAGCAAAGTCTGGGTTTTCAAGTGCCCCTTCCAACAATAACAGCTCAGGAAAGCGAGCTGGCTGCTGCTGCAGAGGAGGGGGAGAGGTGCAGCACCGTGCAGCGCTGCGGGGCCGTGCCAGCACCTGGTCCCAGCTGCCTGCACCTCCAGTCAGACCTGAGCCTCACCTGCTGGGTGTTCACCCCAGCCCCTTGTCCCTGTGCACTGTCCCCAGGGGGGCTGCCGTTGTGCCAGTCCCTTGGGGACAGGGAAGAGGCTGTCACTGAGGCCCAGCAGTGCACTGGAGGTGCCAAAGCGTGGCAGGACCCTCACCTGGGTTCTGAAAGTTCAGCAGCTGCACCAGCTGAAAGAAGTTTAATTTACACCCAAATAACTTATTCTAAGTCTGCTTTTCTCACTCATACATTCATTTTACTTTATTGTAATGTCAGCACTTAGCAGTGAAGTAATGGCAGATCTCTGGAGAACCTCGCACAAGCGAGAAGGCACCATTATCTCGGTTTTACAGATCCTGCTTATGTTGGGAACATATGTGGTGGTGTAATTACACTGATGTGATTAAATCAGTGCAAATCCTTCCTAGAGGGACATGCTGCACCACTGTAAAGCAGGGCTTATTATCAGTGCAGTTGAATTCAAATTATATTACTCTATTAAGCTGTGCTAGTGTAAGCCCCCTCAAAGTCACAAAGTCACGTGAGGAGCTTTGTTGTTTCTTTTTAAAGCAGATAAAGATTTGGAAACTGAAATGGGTGAGGTTGTGCTCTGCCCAAGAGCATGCTAGAAGAAATGAGCTTGACAAATGTTTATAGTACTTTTTGCAAGGAAAGAGGTGTGGGTGTGAAAGCGGGGGTGTATTATTGTTATTATTTTTAATAGATGAAATTCTTTGTTTAAACTGTTGTGGCCATTTTGGAAAAAATCCTATATCATACTAAGGCTTTACAAATATATTAAATAAAATGCATACAAAATTCTAGTACATCTTCACTACTTGGTTTTGGATTTTGATAATGGCTGAATGAGTCAATAAATAACCATGGTGTATACAATTTAATTGTTTTGGTTTTTTTTTGGCAGGGTGTGGGCACTGTAAGAAAATGAAGCCAGAATATGAGAAGGCTGCAGAGTTTCTCCATGTAACCAGTGATGTAAGCTAATTTCCGTTATTATATCCTTCAAATAATCAGTAATAAATAACCAGAGTAATAAAAGTGACTTTTCTCCCTACAACAAATTCAGCTGTTCTCATCCTCCCACAGGACCCTTCAAAATGTGCTTCCAAAGTACAGTCTCATCGCTAATGCATGAGCCCTGCCAAAGTCTGAGAAAGAACATTCTGTCTTGAACGAAAACAAAATCGAAAAATGTTTATGTATTCTACTGTAGGCCCTATACATAATATGATCAAATCCAAAAATGGATTTTTTTCCCCTTACTTAAAGACATTGAATGTGAAAAAACATAGGCTTTTATTTATGAATTAGATTTGGAAAAAAACAAAAGGGGTTGATCCCTCTTTCAAATACCTTGTTTTTAATGGTTGCACCACTCCATTAGCTTCATCATAAGTGCTCCATCAGCATGGCTGGAGAAGAGAGATCCAGTAATACAAGTATTAGTGCTATTGATTCAGTCTTGTGCTGTGTATGCCATGCAGGAGAAGTAGAATTGGTCTCTCCCATAGTTTAAGCATCTTCTGTGGAGACATCTAAAGTTCCTTTATTGCTGTTGGAGAGGGAGGAGATGAGAAAAACAAAGATCCAATGAATCACACTTTACAAATGCCTATTCTTCTGTGTCTCTAAAGACGGTCCATGAAAAGATACCAACAAGTTAGGGAAAGATGAATTTGCCTTAAGGTAAACTTACCTTTAGCAGTGCTTGTTTCTTCTGGGAGAAACAGGGATATGCAGGAAGAAATGCAATTTCTGGGAATGGCTCTTAAGCATTATAGCGTGAATTATATAAAGAGAATCCATTGGAAATGGGAGGGGAACAGGTAAGACTCTGGTAATGTTTAGTCCACAGTGTGTCCCTTTCTGATCTTGCATCAGTTGTCTGTGTCTTCCTGTATGTCTGTGCACAAAATCACAGAATTAGTCAGGTTGGAAAAGACCACTGAAATCAAGTCCAGCCCATGACCAAGCACCACCACGTCAACTAGACCATGGCACCAATTGCCACATCCAGTCTTTCCTCAGACTCCTCCAGGGATGGTGCCTCTGCCATCTCCCTGGGCAGCCCATTCCAATGTCTAATCGCCTTTTATGTGAAAAAATTCTTACTGATGTCCAACCCGAGCCTCCCCTGGCACAGCTTAAGACTATGTCCTCTTGTCCTAGAGGCAGCAAAGGTGCCTAGAGCATGAGTTATTGCCCCCGAGCCCTCTGTGTCCTGCTGAAGGGGTGTGTGTATATGGCTGGGATTTACAGGAGTGATCTCTGTTTCAGAGTCCGGGTGTCCTTGCAGCAGTCGATGCGACCGTCAACAAGGCTCTGGCAGAAAGATATCACATCTCAGGGTTTCCTACTTTGAAGTATTTTAAGGATGGAGAGGAGAAATACACTCTGCCACACCTCAGAACAAAGAAGAAGATCATTGACTGGCTGCAAAAGTAAGTTTTGAGGTTTTTAAGATAGTATTAGGATTCCTGGTTAGTGACTCCTGCAGATGGCTTTGATGAGTAACTAAACAGAGCTTCAACACTGCCTAAATCCCTTGCTAACAAAATTACACTGAATTCCAGTATTCAAACCCACAGAAACATGTATATTAATTACGGTCTCTAATACACAAAGCTTTTATTTGCCATGGGGTTTTTCATAGCTGCCCTGGTATTTCTTTCCCAAACTAAATATTTTTCAAATACACCTTAAGCCTTTCCCTGGAGAAGGAATAGCAATGGCTCTGAAAAGTAAACAGAACATTTGTTGTTCCCTCTTTATACAAAGCAGCAGATCCCAGTGTTAGTAACTGAATTTCTACAGTTGTATTTTTCTCTTTCCAGCATTTCAGAGCCAGTGCCTAGAATTCCACCCATGTGGGGCTGAAGGAAAGCCAGTGTGGCCAACAAAACCAGCACCTTTGAGTGCACTAACCAACTTTTCTTGGGTGGTGTGCTGAAATATGCAGAATTAAGTTTGATATGAAAATTATGACAATAATTCCATTTCAAAATAAATTGCTGGTACGATTCTCTCTTTAAGCATGCATTATATATGCATGTATGTAAAAGTATGCATATATATATAAAATATGCATTTTCTTTAGGTACTGTAAGCCTAATGTATTTTCTGCATTAGTCAAGGGGAAGCAAACCTGCCAGAGTTTTGTGAATATTTTAATCATTTAACTACTACATGCAGTTGGCATGAGGAATGTAATCTTTATTTCTTTATTTTCCCCCTCTTATTTGGTGGGGGAAGAGGTTGTGCAGGTTTTTTTTTTTGGTCTTCTCTTCTCTTCTCTTCTCTTCTCTTCTCTTCTCTTCTCTTCTCTTCTCTTCTCTTCTCTTCTCTTCTCTTCTCTTCTCTTCTCTTCTCTTCTCTTCTCTTCTCTTCTCTTCTCTTCTCTTCTCTTCTCTTCTCTTCTCTTCTCTTCTCTTCTCTTCTCTTCTCTTCTCTTCTCTTCTCTTCTCTTCTCTTCTCTTCTCTTCTCTTCTCTTCTCTTCTCTTCTCTTCTCTTCTCTTCTCTTCTCTTCTCTCTGACTGCTTCAAAGCAGGTAGTGGATATGGTCTGGCAGTATCATTGTAGCATGTTGAGGAGCTTTATCTGTGTTTTACTTTTAGACATGGTACTCCCTTGGCCTCCCTGCCCACTCAGGCTGCAGGCTGCTGTATCTGTATTGTACATGAAGTCATTGTCCTCATTTCACTGCTTTCCTCAACTCTTTTGAGCACTGTGCACTTTGTAGTGAGTTAAACAGTCAGGCTGATGCTGCCTGTACCGGCAGGTGAATAAGCAATTCACATGGAAAGGAGCAGAAAAGTGGTATTAATTCTTCTGGATCCTGCTGTGGCTCTTGAAGACTTTTGTCTGCAGCCTCAGCTAGTCAGCAGCAGAGGTGAAGCCCAGGCAACTTGTCTGCTGCTCTTGGCTCCTGGGTGTTCTCCCAGCTGGAGATGCAGTAGGATAACATCCTTGTTTTCTGACAGGGATAGAATTGGCACAGCTGCACTGAAGCTGGTGGAAATAGGGATGCATCTGGGGTGCAGGCTGGTGATGAAAGTACAGTTTGTGGAGACGTGTCTCAATGGGTGGTTGTAGCCATGCAGGTTTTGGCTGTGGTTCCTCTCTGGTGATTGTGCTGCCACACTAGGTTGTTACCAGTTGCTAGGTAGTTTATTCTAAGTCAGCATGGAAAATTTTGTGTGAGAGTAAAGTCGCACCTCTGTAACTGTAATCAGTGATAGCTCACAACAACTGTGTTCAGGGAGGAATTCAGCTAAAGGACACACTGTGTAACTTTCTCTGAAACACATCTAAGTCTTTCTCTAAAACCTGGAAAATCAGTGATGGTAGAAATGCAATGAATGTCCACCAAGTGACCTTGAGAAGGACTTTAAAAATTGAGTTTTTCTCCACTTGGTTTTTATGTACCTGATACAACTTAAAATGGTGTCATTTGAAGTGTCAGGAAAGTCTGAAAAGCTAATTTATTACCAAGGCGACATATGAAGGTCTTTATACTGTGGCACCATTCTGATGATTTTATATAAAGTAATCACTATTTAAGATACAGCAGGAATGAATTTAATGAGTCTGAGAGAGGTCTGTGAGCTAGTGAATAGCAGAATTTTTGTTAGAGACACTCTGGGTGTGCGGGACTGCTCTGATCCAGCCAGTGTGTGCAGTCATAATTGAAACCTGACATTCTCTTTACCAAAGTAAAATATGCTGGTTCAGTCACCCCCAGTATTCCAAGTGGAACGATGCTGATTTTTGCATCCTGGCTTTAATATCTGAATTCTAGAGAAGGTCATGAAATTCTTTACAGAAGTTTGCATGATAGGGATAAAGAGTACAAAAAGGATATTTGAATGGAAGATGCTGGTCTATATCAGTTTTGATATAAATCCCACCTGCTTGCTGTTCTTCTCAGTTCATGCCTGTGGATGATACAGTGGTATGTATCAATGTTTTTAATACCCAGATGTTGGATACAATGTAGGAAGTCTTTATTTGACATTTCTACTCATATGTCTGGCTACAGTTACTTAAATTATATTTCAGTTATTTTAAATTATATTTTTAATTATCTGAGTTCCAGAAATTAACTTGCATCTTTTTTTGCTATTGCCTGGTGTCAGAAATATCATGTATGTCTTTCTGTTGCACAGACACCTTGAAGGATTTTTCACATTAGTTCCCTCATGCTAATTATGACCAGGACAATGCTGTCCCTTTATCTGCTTCCAGAAACATTTTCAAACTAATTTCATTGTCTTTCTTTTCCAGTCCTGAAGCACCACCTCCACCTGAGCCTGCATGGGAAGAAAAACAGACCAGTGTTATCCACCTGGCTGGAGAAGACTTCAGGGAGTCCTTGAAGAAGAAGAAGCACACCCTTGTCATGTTCTATGCACCATGTGAGTAAATAACCCCTCCACGAGGATGGGTTTTATAAGCCTTACATTTACTATGAAATCCTGAATTAATTCCCTTACTGTCCACTGACTTTTAAGGTTAAAGAGCTGATTCTGAATATAAGTGCATAGGAGCATCATTGGCACCATCATTTGTATCTCTATAAACAGAAACAAAACAGTATATAATGGTTGTATTATTTAATGCAGACACCAAAGCAGGCAGCAATACAAAAACAAAACAAATTTATTTTCCTTTGCTGCATTTTATGGTCCATATAACAAAATGTGATCCTTTATAGTAGCACAGTGGACATGGAGAGCCTGATTCATTAATGCAGCACTTCAGTAGTGAAATCAGTACAGTACTGTGGGAGGAATCAGTCCACGAGGTGGAGAACAAATTTTGATGGAATAAATTTTGTCTGTAATAAATCTGCATTTAAGTCTCCACTGGGACTAGGGACATAGCTTCCTCCTCCCAGATTGTTTTGCATGCATCACATAAGCATTTTGTTTTTGAAGCTCCTGAGAATATTTCTGGAGAAGTTTAGAATTAGGCCTTTATAAATAAGGTGAATGAGAGGGACCTCTTCTGTTTTCCTGTGCTGTCCCAGAGACAGGCAGACTAGGTGCAAGTTCTTAGCTTTTGAGAGGTTTATCAAAGGGAGAAGATAATCCAGGCATTTAATATTAGATACTATTAATATGCCTTTATGCCACCATGACTCAAGCCCCCCAGATGCAAAAAAAAATTCTTCCATATCACATGGCCAGCAATTAATGGATAACCTTCAGATAAACAGCTACCAAATTGTTCCCATTAAATCAAAGGTATTTTCCATACAGAGAGAAAAAGGTCCTTAATGTTAATCAGTCAGCCCCTTATTTTGCTTTTCTGTTAGAGAATTAAACATGAATGCTTTGGGGCTCATATGAAGGGATGTGGGAGAAAGCAGGGGTGCAGTTCAGGAGGGAGATTTCTGGAAGGCTGTAAAAGAAAACCGAAGGGGACGTAATCCCTTTTCCAGTCCAGTTCCCACCACCTATTGACTAAAAATTGCCCATGTGCTAGGAATTTCTGATTCATGGAGCTCAGCTGGTTAAGAGCAAATTGTAATTTTAAAATCAAATTATTGCCCATGAAATGGTAACATTTAGGAGTTCACTGTCTCTTGAGTTGTCTTTACCCGATTATTGACTTTTTGCGTAAGAGGGATTTATTTCACTTTTGGTTTTTAGCTGCATCTTTTAAAGTTAGATTCTCGATGCTTTTTAAAGCCACAATCAGAGCAAAGACTCTGTGTGTGTTGAGTATGCAGCTCTCAGGGTTGAAAGCATGAGGGAACTTGCCTGATGGGCTAATTTTTTGCCGTTTGACTTCCACCCTTATTTTAGGAGGGGTGAGTAAAGATCAGCCTGGCCCTTTCTATATGAGCAGGCTGTAAAAACAAGGCTTGCATGACGTGAAACTGTTGGGTCCTTTGAGGCTGCACTTGAGACACATTTTTGCACTGTTTTTGACACAGTGCTTCCTGCATGAGACCACCTGTGCACAGGACAGAGAGGTGTTAACTGGAGCCCCATCTGGCCTTCCTGTACTCCTAAGACAGCGCTGCTCTTGTGGTGTCAGTACGTGGGTCATGCAGTTTCTGATTTGTCAGATTTGTTCTCTCTAAATGTGGAAGTGTCTGTGAGCAAAGCACAAAGCAGGCACACACAGGGAGTGCAACGAGCCTGCACTTTGTTGGGTGCAGGGGAAAGTACCAGATAACTATTTTAAATCTCTGTTTTCTATGAAATAAACATTAATGCAGTAGAATTATTACAATGATTAAAAACACTATATTTTTTCAGCTTTTGTGCAGTGATAATATGCTTCCTGTTAAATTTATAGATTAGCTTTTGTTTACCATTTTCTCAATCTTGAGACCTCTTGAAGCTTACATTGCCAATTAATCTTAACTTGCTTATTTTAGTGCAGAAGGAACACTGCTAAAATTTCAAGGTCCCATTACCTCAAATAATTTTTTTTTCTATTCAAATCCACATCTTGGGTCAGGGCAGACTCACAGTATGCTACTCCATTCACTTGTGACTCTGTGGCAGTATTTGTTACACTTACACATATGCTGAGATATTTTAGGATTGGGGGGGTGTGTATACATGCATATATAAAGTATGTTTATATATAAATATTTATGCTAAGAAATGTATCTCTCATCTGTCATTAGAATTTAAAGCAGAAAGTTGAGTATTCTGACCTTTGTCAAGCTTTCAGCTCTAGTGACAAACCTTTAGGCAAAGGCCATAGATATATATCTTAGATGCAAATTAAAATGAGATCTGGCTTTCCTGTGGCAGCTTCCAGTCCAAATGACTTGATATGTATAGGAGAGCCACCAATCTGCTGCAGTGCCGATAACTCAGGGCTGAGCTGAGCAGGGCTTTAATGGTACTGAGCAGTGCTTCACAGTGATTTAGCTCTGGAGGAGACTGCTACATCCACATGGAAAAGATAGGGATTACTCATTACTCTGTCTCCTGGAATATGGGTGAAGCATAAACTTAAAGGTTATTCCACCTGGCTGTGGAATATTTTAAGGACTGAGAATCAGAATCAAGACTCTGGAAATTACTGGGGGAAAAAGTCCACTCCTGCAGACTTGACACCACAGAGAGCTTGATTTCACGTTCCCATTCCTGCATGCTGGCATCTGGGTGTGCTGCAATGACAGACTAGGGGCAGGAGGCAGGAATAGGGGTAGGTTCCCAATACTGATTTGGGAAAAAATGCCTGCTGCACCCAGTGCTACTTGTGCCAGTAATGACCTGGGATCAGATCTGCATCCAGATGTCCTTTGGTTAGGTCTGTACCGTGTCACACAGGCTGGAGTGTGGGCTGGCATGTGTTAGAGCTACTCAGGGCTAGGACTTGGCCAGGCTGCTGGCATCTGTGCTGCACAGCACCTGGCCCAGCTCTTCTCTGAAACCTTGTGCAGCTCTTGTGAAGATGTAATTGTCATCCCACTCATGTACCTTTAAGTTCAAAATGCCTAAAATAAGAGGAATACAATTGTACCATCTGCAGAAGGGAAGCATGAAGCGTCAGGTGTGTGTTGGGATTGCTGTGTGGGGTTGGAGGAGTATTTGAAAGCAGCAGGATTGATGCACCAGTATTTGAGAAGCTTTTGGGGAGAGTTTATGGGATTTGTGTCTCTATTTTTTTCATAATCCAGTCCTTGGACTACTGGATTCCATCAGCTACTTCAGGTTTACTTTTATAACTATTAGGATTTGTCCAGAAATGGGGTGAGGAGACACCTAGTCAGAGTATGGTTTGATGTGCACATGGAGCCTGGTACATGGATGATCAGGATTTGGGGCTACAGACTGTGCTGGGAAGTGAGCCAAATGGACAAGAGCAGGCAAATTGCAGTGCTGAAACAGCCAGGTTGGGAGGGCAGTGGCTGCAGGTCTGTGCCCTACACCCAGAGCTTGGTTCAACACTTGCCTCTCTAAAGTGAGGTGTCCTGGGCATTTGCATCAGTGCCTCTTCTGGGATCAGCGCCCTGACCTTTCTTTCTTCTTTCTCTTATGTCCTCCCTGTTCATAAAGCTTATCTGGATGTGTTTTATCTGCATTTTTACTTTTATGTGCTCTCTCCACTCCGTTATTCCAGATAATTGAGATTTGACTTTGACAATGCATTAAATTTTAACCTCCTACTACTGTAGCACTGAAAACTGTGCAAAATAGGAGCAGTTGGTAGTGATTAGTTGTCAGAAGCACAAAGGGTAACAAAAGTTCCAGTAAATAATGTCTTTGTGGTTGGAGATGTTTTTTCTCCATTACTCAAACAAATTAAGGGGGAAAAAAGAATGATTGAAGCTAGGTGAGACTCTGCAGTGCCCAGGGCCACTGAGGCAAAGGGCTGAAATTGAAACACAGGAATTTTTGCATAACCATTTAGAGGAAGTGGTGGTTTTTTTACTATGGTTGTGGTTGAATACTTGAACAAGTTGACCTAAGAGGCTCCATCCTTGGAAGTACTCAAGCCCAGCTAGAGACAGTGCTGGGCAACCTGCTGAGGTTGACCCTGTTTTGAGCAAGGGAGTTAGACTAGATATCTCCTGAAGTTCCTTCCAACACAGCAATACTGTATTTCTAGGAATAGTTATACTGGAGTTTGAGATACACAGGGGTTTTTTATTTGGTTTGGGGTTTGGTTTTGCTGATTGTGGTTTTGTGGTTTTGGTTGTTTTTTCCCCCTTCTCATCCAGTTTTGATTTTCTCTAAACAGGAAAGGCTTAATAACACCCCTTGCTAATTCTTATGCAGAAACAGAAAATGTCCACTTTTGAGTTACAAGAATGTCATTTTTTAGTTGAGATTGCTGCTTCCAAAGGGACTACAAATGAATCAACTGTGTCAGAAAGGAATTATATATAACAGACCAGTCATTAACAGGTCCAAATGATGGGGGGAAGACACTCTGTTTTTAGATCAGTCACTTTCAATGGCAGGAATCAGCACTTATCAAATTTACTCAGTTTTTACTTTCAGTGTCAAAACACGAGTTAATAAGCACTTTCAAAAAATAAAGACTTTCAGCAGCAATGGGAAGTAGTCAGGGGAAAGTGTTTCCTTTTAATGGTTCCTAAGGGGGGCAGTTGCCAATGTTATTGACTTGCTAAATGGCCTCAATTTGTGGGACTCAACAGGGTTCACAGAATGGATATTTTTAATAAATGCTTTACTGGGAGCTGATTTCCGATTCTGTTTTCAGCAGTGAAACTTTCACTTCAGTAGAAATGAATTTCATCAGCTGGAAAAAGTTATTTTCTGATGAAGCCTGACCCACAGGGGTACTGAAAGAACACCCAGAAGTAAACCATCCTGAAGATGGTTTTAATGAAATGTTTTTGGATGGAGCAAGTGGCTGTGCTGCTGCAAGAGGATGTGCAGTTAGAGACTGATATCAGTCTCTTTGGTTCTTCACT